AGTGCTGAGTAAGGCTTCACAGCTGCAGTTTGGTTATTTCTCTGGAATCCATTGGGCAGCAAAAACTCTGCTAATTTGGAGGCCAGACTGTTCTTCTAATTGACCTCCGCTCTCAGATGCTATGAAGGTAAGTGTGGGGTGTCTGCAAATGATAATATTAAGAGTAAGAGCGTCCTGTAGGGCTCCTGCTTAAAATCAGGGCCATTCAGCATTGTGAACTCAGATAATGTGATCTATATACATTTCGGTCCTTGCATTATGCTATTGGTCTTTCTAAATTCCTATTGGTTCCAAAGGAGTTAGGCAGGAATAATGGGCTGGAAGGACAACTTCCTTTTTCTTCCTTGGTGAATCCATTTATTGGTTTTGATTTCTGCCTAACTACTGCCCTGTTTCTGTTTTAGGAAACACTACAGGAGTTAGAGAGAGAATTCTTTCAAAGGCATCGGTCCAATTTAATGGGAAGGGTTTTTTTAAATCTACACCCTTCAGTTTCTCTTGAGATGCTCTTACTCAGGCACATAAACCAGCGATCCAAAACACATAAACCAACCATCTCCAAAATCTCATCCTTCTTGTCCAAGCAGAATTGAGAAAAGGAAGAAGAAGAAAAGGTGTGTGTGTGTGTCTTATACAATGTCAGAAGGAAAACCACAAAACCTTTATTCCAAGGCTTGGTTCCAACAGAACCAAAGGTGGCTGGGGAATTCTAGGAGTTGAATTCCTCCAGGCTTAAAGTTGCCAAGGTTGGAGGTCCCTGAGCCAGAACACAGGGTCCATAAAGATTCCCATCCTTTTTGGGCTCTGAAAACTACTGTAAGCAGAATCAGCCTTACTTAGGACTTGGGTGGGTTTTGCTGGGAAAGCCTAGGAAGAGTTGCTAAACAGAAGTTTTAAAAAGTCCAGGGGGGGGTGGTTCCCCCTTACAGTTGCATGGATGCTCTTTTCGGTTAGCTAGAAGTTGAACTTGCTTGGAAAGAAACTGCTGCTTCATAGGTGGTTGTTAAAGGCTTCACCTCTGCTAAAACCCTTCCATGTGGAAGTGGTGAGACCTGTACCTCCAAATTCTGAATGGTAGTTGGAATTCCTCACAGGAGGCTTTGCATGAGGTGGCTTCAGCTCCAATACCGATGGAATGGATGAACTCTGTGACCTTAAATGCCACTATTTTTTTTATTCCTCACTTTTTATATTTGTGGGGTGCTCAAAAGTGGCAGCCCTCAAGGCTTCTAGAAGGCCTGCCCTGTTCTCGAGTCTCTCTGTTCTTTATATAATCACTTGACTTTTGCATTTGACTTTTGCAGTGGTTGGAGTGCAGTACTGCAGGCTACTTCAGCTGACTGCTAACTGTAGATCTGCAGTTCAAGTCCCACAGGCTCAAGGTTGACTCAGCCTTCCATCTTTCTGAGGTGGGTAAAATGAGGACCCAGATTGTTGGGGGCAATATGCTGATTCTGTAAACCGCTTAGAGGGGGCTGTAAAGCACTGTGAAGTGGTATATACTGTAAGTGCTATTGCTATTACTTCTTGTCAGCCTTAGAGTGGTGGCAAAGGCAGAGTTGAGGGAAAGTCCTATTTGTGTGAACTGGGTCTCCTGGCAGAAAAACTAGGAAAGAGAATAGCTGTGTCAAGAGGAAGATTACTTGTGGCGATGAAAACAGTGTGGAACTGTCTTGGGGGATTTTGAAAAACATTTGGCTCCTGGGTTGGGCTATGATGTCCCATGAGTGATGTCCCATGTTTCTAAAGCACAATGTTCTAATTTATTAGGCTTGTAGCCCAAAGGTAGCAGCTGTTCCTATATAGTCTGACTCTGGAAGCCTCTTTCCACTAATGGTTCATTGGCCATCATTCAGGGTTTAAAAGAAATCCTGAGTTAAAATTTTGAAAGAGGAACTTTTCATGGTATTGAAGTGAACTCTGATTACTGTAGTTACTACACGCAAATCAGAAATGCTGTGAATTAACACCTCTGTTAATTCTGTTAAGCACCTAATGAGAAGGAAGGACTCACTGGAGAAGAGCCTAATGCTGGGAAAGATTGAGAGAAAAAGAAGAAGGAACAATAGAGAATGAGGTGCTGGATGGACTAGTTGAAGCAGTAGCCATGAGCTTCAATGGACTCCAGGAGATGGTAGAGGACAGGAAGGCCTGGAGGAACGTTGTCCATGGGTTCAGGATGTGTCAGACACCACTTTGCAACTACCAACAAAAACAGCTCTGCAGGACTCCAGTTTGGAGAAAGCCATATTAAACAATTTGAACTGAAACTCTTGTTAAATTATTTGCTGCCTAAATTGTGTTTACAAATGGGATTTGGTCCAATCAGTTTCCAGTATTCCAGTTTAATGTTCTAGTTTACTCTTGGGGATTTTATCCTCACTTTTGGCACTGCATAACCCTTCATTGGCCGTGTTCAACAATGTAAGCCTCAGTTTGCTTAAGAAGGATTCACTGAATAAACAAGGCACTTAAGCTAAGCCATAAACTACGGTTTGTAAATCTCAGAAACTGGACACATTAATATATTAACTTTTGATGATTCTGAGACAGTTGATGTAACAACTTAGATATGAACTCTGGTGGTTTTTTGGTTGAAACTTTTGTTTTAACCTTTCGGTCCTCTGACTCTCATTCAGTTGGTGGGAACCACATTAAATTTGGTCTTCAGAATACGGTGAGTCCCAAGTGATTAAATCATGGCTACTGTACCATAAGAACCCCCAAACCTTGGACTAAAGAATAAACCATGCTTGAATTAACTATGGGTAAGCCCACATTTTCTGTGATCACAATAACTTTGTGTCTGAATGCAGAAATACTTTATCCATGTCAAAACAAATCTGTATGGGGAGTCAGTTGAGAAATACTGAAGGGAACCCCCCCCCCCGGACGTTTGATGGACTTTTAAGCCAACCAGAGTCACCTTGTAGGGGAGATGGGTGGCATAAAAAGCAAATAAGTAGAGTGGTAGAGGGGGAGGGGAAGTAGGGTAGAGGGGAATGATGGAGGGAAGATGGAAAGTTGGAGGGGNCACTCTCTTTCCCTCTCTCCATCTTTCTCTCTCCCTCTTTTGCTCAGTCTCTCTATCTGTCTCTCTGTCTCTCTATCTGTCACTCTGTCTCTCTATCTTCCCCCCTCTCTCTCTTTCTTTCTCTCTCCCCCCCCCGCTCCCTCCCTCTCCTTCTCCGTTCCCTTTCGGCGCCGGTTCTTCAGTGGAATTTGAGAGAGGGAGAGAGAGTGAGAGCACGTGCGAACTGGGAAAGAGAAACAGATGAGCAAACTCTGGTTCAGGTAACTTGCCTTTTGGCTGGAGGGGAGGGGAGGAGGAAGGCGGGCGGCCCTGAAAAAGAGAGGGGGAGATCCCCAGTGAGTCCCGTTCTTTGCCTGTACTGGGAACCTTTGAGACTTGGGAATCGAGGCCTCTACCAAAGACAAGAAATTGATATTTTAAGCAAGTAAATCCCGTTTCGATTGAAAAGGGAGGAGAGACTGAAGAGAGATCTAGACAGGGGATAAAGAAGGGAATGAACGAAAGCTTCCCTCCTTGCTACGGCTACATTCTAACGAGCCCACACACTTCTCCGCCGATTTAAATCGTGTTTTGAAGGCTCCTTGCCCCCTCCCCTTCCTTCAGTGAAAGGATGTTGTGCCCAAGGCGAAGGAAACACTTTAAGCAGACTTCCGTCGTTAAAGGGGTGTGGAGAGACCCGTCCTCTGGCAGAAAAAAACTTTGGAAGGGGGGGAAAAGGGTCTCTGGGCGCGCTAAGGAAATGTAGGGAACCCGCTGAGATGACGCTTAACGGAGCCCTTCCCCGGCTGGGGGTCGCGCCTGATGCGGCCGGTCTGATAGGTAAGCATTTGCCGAGAACGACTGGAAGGCTGGAGAAGGGGCGGTTTCGTGGCCGGCGGCCAGGGCGAGTGAGTTTCTTCCGGGAAAACCCGTTTTTGTTTTTTTAAGGACGCCGGGGAAGAGGGTCAAAAGCTATCAGGGAGATGGGTGGGGGTGGGGGGGCACAATCTCCGCCTCCCTCCTCCCTTGGGCAGGTTTGCTTCTCCCGGGCTCTCCCCCAAACCCCTTTTCTCAGGAACCGCACAAACGGCTTCCGCCGTTTATCCGGCGTTGCTGTTGGAGGGGTGGGTGGGTGGGAGAAAACCGAAAAAGAAACGGCGCCCCTTAGGAGCTAAAAAAAGCAGGGCACACATTCACGCGGGCGCGTTCACACACACACAAGCTCCTGGTGTCCCCCCCCTCTCTCGTGCACAAAAGCAAACGGGGTGGGGGTGAAAAAAAGGGGGGGCTGGAATCAGGGCATAATGATTCACCTAAATGAAGGGGGAAATGTTGCTCAGTTCGTTTATTAATCAGGCTGCCAATTTCACCCCAGAGGCCAAATCTCAGCAACCCGTGCAGGATCTGATCGAGCGCCGGACGAGGACTCCTCTCTGCCTCCTCCTCCTTCTTCTCCTCCTCCTCCTCCTCCTCTTCCTCCTCCTCCTCTTCTCCAGTCCTGGTCTTTCCGCCTCCCTTGTTGGATCTATTTGTCTGCTCTGAAGCCGCCTTCATTATCCGTTGACAGGATCTTGTATTTATTTGCTTATAAACCTGTTACAATAAATGATTATTCGACCAGCGTCATTCGTACCTTAATGACGAGCCCTCCTTTTCTGTGATGAATGACATTTCGGGGCTGGAAAGGATGTATAGGTCATTTTGACCAGTCATTCCCTTAGCGTTTACATCTCGCTCCCCTTTCTCTTCTTCCTCTTCTTCGTTTGGTGCCTTCTTCAATATATATATATTTATATATATTTATATATTTAGAGATATTTTCCTGACCCGAAAGCGAACCGGCCCTTGTTGCCGTGAGCTGATTATTAGAAGGACCGATCGTGTATTTATACACACATCACACCTACAGCCACGGACACTCAGGCGCCCACGCCTGTCTACATTCTCACGTACAATTTTTTTCCATTGTGGGGGGGAGGGAGCTGAGATGATGGAAAGAATAAGAAAAGAGATGATTTTGATGGAAAGGGGGCTGCACAGCCCCACGGCCGGCAAAAGGCTGGCGAATCTGACCGAGGCGGCTGGGAACGCGGTCCTGGAGGCCCTGGAAAACTCGCCCCACGGCGGCCGGCTCAGCCCAAGACTAACTTCCGCTTCTCTGCACAGCTCCATCGGGGACCTCCCGGCCGCCAAAGGCAAATTCGAAATCGACGCTTTATTCAGCCTTCAGCACCAGAACAGCGAAAGCGCCGTAGCGGCAGAGCTGCCTCCCGCCGAAAGCAGGAAGAAAATTAGCCATTACTCAGAAGTGGCTGGAGAGGTAGACATGAACAGCGACGTGGAGGTCGGCTGCTCCGCGCTTCGCTCGCCGACCAGCCTGGCCTCCTCTCTGAAGGAAAGCAATAACAAAGGTAACCCTCTTCTCTCGTGCTCCCCATCCCACCCTTTTAGCGGGGCAAGAGTTGGGGGGTGGTGTTGCAGGGGAATCCAAGCACAGCAGGATCGAACCCTTCTCCTATTTTCTTATTTTGCTTATTCCCCTTTCCCCAGTTAGGGAAGGCATCCTGTAAAATACGAGGGTATTAATTTGGAGATCAATCGAAGGTGCACCTAGCCTCCCAGCACTCTTAAGGAATTTGAAGCAAAAGGTTATATAGAGTTGTGTGTGGTGGCACACACTGTCCGCACTAAGCGACTCTCGAGTGGCATTTATACTTTGGATATACTCTCTGTGTCGAAGTGTGCACGACAGGAGTGAAAATGTATGTGTACTTTTTACACAGCATATCCCCACATCTGAGGATCTTTGGGCAGATCGGCTATGGGATTTTACACGGCTGATCTAGAAATCCGAGTTTCAAATTCTATAGCCGAATTTGCCGGCTATATTTAACAATCTTCCCCCTATTTCGCAAGTGTAAACAAGTGCTTTTTGCTGAATTTGGATGAAGTATATTTAGAAAGGAGTGCCTATACTGAGCAACTCCGAGATCGCAACAAGACCCTGTTGGTATAATTGATGTAGCTCAATTTATTCAGAGCGCAGCTAGCGGGTCCTTTAAGTAAATTATCGCCTGATTTTTTTATTCTGGGCTTCCATTGGAAACTCAGCAATTTTTTTTTAAAAAAAAAGTTTGCTCTTTTCTATACTTACTTTTTGGCTTCTCCCTCCCTCCCGTGCGACTTATTTAGCACGGTGAACTTTGACTAGGAATAATGCATCATAATGCCAGAAACTCGTTCAATAACTTATTTTTAAAGCAGTGAAAAAAGAACACATTCTGTCGGACCCAAGTTGCACAATTAAAACCACCAGAGGCTGTGGGACTGTGGAATGTTTTAGGAAACACATTTTAACAGAGCATTCGTTTGCAATCCGAATTGGGCAAGCCTTTCCATTTATCTTCCTTTTGTATATCTCTGGAAAAAGTGAACGAAAAAGTAAGGGGGGGGGGAAATCCCCAGCGATAGGCCCCAGGAAAGATTAGCTGTAGGCGTCTTACAAAAGACGCCTCTAACTTTTCCCATCGAATATATATTTTAGGCGGCGTGGAATCTTTTTTTTTTAATCAATAGATTTGTTTTTGTTTTTAAAGGATGCTTAATTTTCTTGATGACTTCTCATCTAATTGCAAACAAAAGATAAAAGAAGAAACTTTCTATTGATTCTATTCACATCGGCAATTTGTCCCCCCCTCCCCCGACAGTCAGCATTAATTATTGGTGGGGGGGAGCGTGGATTACAGGGGCTGAAATCCGCCTGGCCGCGCGTCTCCGGGACAATAAGCAACGTCTTTCTTTTGTTACTTTTTTGTCTGGAAGGCTATTCGGAGAGCAGTTCGACTCCTAGCACCACCAGCTCGTCTTCAGGATCCACACTGAGCAACTTGCACAGCGGAAGCAGCCTGAGCAGTTCCAGCTCCGGGGCCGACCAAGTGAGGAGGTACCGCACCGCTTTCACCCGGGAGCAAATCGCCCGGTTGGAAAAGGAATTCTACCGCGAGAACTATGTTTCCAGGCCTAGACGGTGTGAGCTGGCCGCGGCGCTCAACCTTCCCGAGACGACCATAAAGGTATTTGCCAAGGAAGAGGGACTCACGCGAGCCAGTCCGGGCTGGGCGGGGAGGGTGGCTGGCGGCTCAAGAGCCGATTTGATGGTTTGGGTTGTCGCTTCCGTGTGTGTAGCTCCCCAGGCTGTAATCCTCTTTCAGCGGGGCTTGCCCGAGACTGAAAAAAATGTCCTCTCCAGCGCTTGCCTTCCTCAAAAAGTAGGAAGGAATTCTGATCAATGTAAAAAGGAATCAGATAAATAAAAAGAAAGCCGATGGCTTTGCTATTTTAAGGAACTCCGCCTTCCATGGGATAGATTTTCGTATTTTATTTTGTTCACCTTTGTTATTGCTTTTAATATTTGTAGCTACATACACACAAAGAAAGAAAGAAAGAAAGAAAGAAAGAAAGAAAGAAAGAANCCCCCCCCCCCAGATTGCATTCCAGAGCCCCCTGTTTTTGATCTGCGGCTGCAATCCATAAAGGCCTCTTTGGAATATTCTCATTGATCGCAAATAGAAGCCCCCAGAGTAGAAGGAGGGGGGGGGGCTGCCTCCTGTGTCCAAGGACCCCGTGACTCTCATTAAACATCCTTAAGGCAGCCCTTGGATTGGAAGTACCGGAGCCTTTGTTTCAATGATGCGAATGAGCTGACTATTATCTTTCTTTAAAGGGAGGAATTTAGCTAATGGCTTGGGTTTTGAAAGCCTACGAGCGTTTTCTTTTAAAGCCTAACACTCGATTCACACGCGAGATTCGAGGGAAAGGCAAATTAATAAGCAGAGGCGTGTACTTTTCAAGCTGGCCAACTGTGCACTCACAACAAAACCCCACTGAAATCAGTGGGGAGGAGGAATCCCAAGCAACTCTGCCAAGAATAATAAGTCCCTTTTTACCACCCTGTTGTTCTTTAATTCGGGGTAAAATCGGGGCGACTGGATAGGGAGTGAAAATCTAAACTACACCAAGAAGTACAGTATTACTGTAGGCTCTTTCTTCCAATTTCGAATAAATGTGGCTCAGATCGAGAGAATACTTCCCTTAAAAAAAAATCAGTGGGAGAGGTACAATTAAAAGCCTGGAAATTTACCAGAGTTCATCTCTTATGTTTTCCAACTTGATTATCCATTTCCAGCGCTTAATGGCTGGATTGATTTTAGCGGACCTTCTTCTAATGGTTGGGGAGGGTGGGGGAGGCCAAATATTGGCTCCCGCAAACTATCTTTACTTGCCGAGCTACCAAAGGCAATCCTGCTGCAGCTTTTTAGGGGGGGGGGCAGGGTTGAGGGGGGAGGGAACGCGCGTGTTAACTTTCTTTCCTCCTCCTCTCTTGTCGCTTTCTAACCTTCCCAACCGCAGAACTCAATTATAAGAGCTTTGATTACAACGATATATCTTTACAGCCCTCCAAACGCGCGGATGTCAAGGGTAATCTTTTAAAGAGGAAGCAGGGCAGAGCCATTCGCAAACGAGAGACCTGACAGCTCTTTGATGGCGAAAATGATGCTCGCGCTACTTGGCCGCCAAAGCAGGGATNATGTCCGGACTTCAACTCCCAGAATGCTGGCTGGGGAATTCTGGGAGTTGAAGTCCGGACATCTTCAAGTTGCCAAGGTTGAGAAACACTGGTTTGAAAGGAAAGGAAAATCCGATGCTTACTGTCCTGATTTTTTTCCCCATTGAAGGCGGCTGTTGTAGTCTTGAGCGGGCCTCCAAAAAACGCTTCCCCAAAATAAAGCAAACGGGCCGCGGGAGGGGGGGGGGCTTGAATGGGTTGGCTAAAAGAAAGGCAGAGTGGGAAAAAAAGAAGGGGTAGTTAAAAAAAAACAGGAAACCCAGCGTCTCCTACTCTGCATTATCTGGAAAATACTTGAAACTTTCTTGGCATGCATCCTATCCTAAAATGGATCTTCTACACAACTTTTTTTTAAAAAAAATGTTGAATTCTTCCCCTCTTCAAAGGAGGAAAATAATATGCTTGCTTTATTTAAGCTCCCCCCCCCCGCCACCTCCCTCCTCCTTCCGCGCTCTGGCTAACAGAGAGCCCCCAAATCCCCGCAACTTTCCGTGAACTTGAGAGACGCATCAAAAACCACCGGTGTTACTGCGGTGTCAATTTTGATGCTAATAATGTGCAGATTATGACGAAAATTGCCAATCATGTTCTCTGATGGACCCTCCTTTGAATGCAGAGTGGTGGGGGGAGTTCCCCGCACGGAGACCTGCTGTCAAGTACTAACAACCCGCTAAGGGAAGTCATTAGAAGAGACGGATAAGAGACCCGGTACATAAAACATTGTTCCTGGTGCAAAGGCGGTAGGTTATTTAACGTTAGATCGGTTACCTTGGAAGTGATTTTTTTATTTTTATTTTTTTGCACACGAAAGCTATGGTTCTGATCATCTCAATTGCCAATTTTCATTTTGGGAACTTGGACACCCTGGATAGACTTTTCAGTTGATATTCCACCAATGTGAAAGAGCCTCATTAAATCAAACTTGGATATTTCCATAAAGCTCCTGGCAGAGTCACTTTACTCTTCACATAATGAGATTTTTTTTTCTGAAGAGTTGAAGCTCTCGCATAACTAGCTATTGCTTATTTAGGCCCCATGTGTAAGATGTGAGCACAGGCGCGCAGCCCATTCATTTCCCCCTAATTTATATATATATATTTCAAATAAGTGTCCTGAAATTTGCCGGTTTCTAAGACACTGGACTTGTTGGGGTTTTTTTCCTTTTTCTTTTCTTTTCCCAACCCCACATTTTGATAATGGACATTCAGGAAATTATTTTCCAGTCTGTACTGTTTTGTTCAGTGAACAAAAACTGTATTTTATTTTTATTATTTTTATTAGTGGGGAGGGGGGAGTCGAATATAGCAAGAGAATGCTGGTATGAAGATAGGAGAGGAAGAATTAAAAACAACAGAAGGTGACAAGAAAAGAAGGGTTGATTATGTTAACATGAGGTATATAGAGAACAGTGAATTAATCCTCAAATAGTAAATATTTTTTTTAATGAAACAAGGATGAGACTCCTTATGCATCAAAAGAAAAATACCAGCTATTGTCCACTGACTTTATATTTAACTTTAAATTAATATATAATTTAATGCTAACTAATTGCAAAATGTGGCATTCTTTTATCAACATTTACTTTTTTCCAATTCTCTAAATAGTTTGGTAATGATGGCCCTTATTGGATATAGAGAGAACAATTTTGGCAATAATGTTTACATTTTCCAAAATAGAAATAGATCAATTAAATCTATATATCTTGGAAGTGGTTGATAGGTTTGCTGATAAATAATAAGATTAAAAAAGAAACAAAATAATTTTATGTTAGGTCCAATGGATCTAGTTATAACGAAAAAATTGTGAATAAGTCCTGTGCTTCAGATATTCACTGGCTGTATGAATTCACTGTAAAATATTTTACAAATGTGCAATAACAACAAAGCTTTGTATATTATGTTATTTATTGTGTTTGGTCATGTAAAATAAATGTTATTTAAATCAAAAGCCACCTGATTTATTTAAGATTTTGGGGAGGGGCGGGAAGTCTTCCTGATATTTGGTTTGTTTGCTGTTTTAATACAAATATATTTTAAAATGTTATTCAGCCTTATGACAGCTTCTTAAAATAAGCACTTTTGCTACTTTTTCATACACGTATCAGATGGATTAATTCATACTAATTGGGTTTTTACTGCAAATGCAGCACATTACTCATGTTTATAGCAGACATGCAGTGAGTCAAACATTGGTTTAAATAATTGCCTGGCCCTACAGATGTGTATTTACAAACACTATGTGCATTTTCTATAGGAAAAGCACTCAACAGATCTTAAATTTACCACCCTGTTCATATATTTTCATGTTTTCCTGGTGTTTTAAGTACATATTAGTCAGATCTTTTAGGAAAAAGAAGTGCAGTTTCCTTAATCTCCAAAGAGTACCGTTTAACAAAAATAAAACCAGAGATAGTGGTTCTAACAGAATCATGCTGAAGATACTTCCTTAAGACAAAATACAAGTCCCCTTCCTTCCTTCCTTCCTTCCTTCCTTCCTTCCTTCCTTCCTTCCTTCCTTCCTTCCCATAAAATCAATATTTCAGTGAGAACATGTAAAAAGTCAGTGAGGTGTATCAAACAGTCTATTTCTGTTCAATTAAAAACATTAAAAAAAAAACCTTGCCGATGTCCCTTGCACAAAATTCACCTTTACCAACTGCTCACCATGGCATTAATTACAACGACACAGAAGCTATTGGGAATACAGAGGCTGCTATCACAAACCATTTTGGCCTGTAATTTACCATTATTATTGCATTAGCTCTAAATGATACAAGCTGATACTGTCTTTAATTGCAGTTTGGTTAAGTATATACTGGAGTGTTCCCTAGGGTTCTTTGTTAGATAAGTCACACACGCCCCACTTTCTCTCTCTCTCTCTCCCCCCTCCTCCAGCCTATTTCTCCCTGTCCTCCCTCCCTTCTCCTTTTTGCTCCCAAAACACCCCCATTAAAGAAATACGATTATAGCAGCACATTTGGACTAGTGATGTATCACCCTGCTTTCCTGTGCTCTTTGCTAACGCGGGGGTTGTAACCCTTAAAAACAAAAGCATTGAGATAGATGGGAAAGCAAACAGGAAAAGACAGTGCCCCCCAAACCCTGTCCGAAATAACCACGTATTTTTCCCCCCTGATTGTTGTTGTCTCGAGGGTGCGAAGAATGAAAAAATAATTCATCATAAAATGCAAGAAGACTGTCTGTCATCACCCCTGAATTGTTTTTGACAAGAAAATAAATCTGTAGGTTGTTTAATATATTTTATATTTTCTTTATTTCGGCGCTAATAGAAAAACCAAATTAAATGTCCACCGGCGAGATAGAAATGCAAAGATCGATGATCCAGCCCCCCCTACTGTCCAATCGCCCCTATTTAATTGACTGTATTTTCTGGGTAATTGAACTGCTTGTTGTAAATTGAAGATTTTATAGAAACGACATGAAAACT